CCCCCCCGCTGGAAAATGGTCTCTCCTGCGACTGGGTAATGGAGGCGGGGCCGGTCGGGTCCTCCTGAGTGTGTTCCCGTGGGGAGTGCAGGGGGCCGTCCTTGTCATGAATATGCAGTTATCGCGCTGAATATGCATGAACAGAACAAGATGGCGAGGCCAATTGCTTGTCCGGAAATAGCCGGTATTTGTCAAACAGCCTCCAGAGGGGAGTGGGCATCTCCTGGACTCTAATGGAGCGCTGTACCCAGTCTTGGTCCTGGATCCCTGGCCTGAGCCGCTCGAAGAGACTCAGCTTGGAGACCTGCTCCAGAAGGAGGCTGGCTACTGTCCGGGAGAGATCACGGGACCGCGACAATCCCGGAAAAGCAGATTAGCTATGGGGCGGGACACGAAAGCCCTGGGGGATTTGGGGGGTCAAGGAATCTGAACATTAGGAAATCCTCCACCTTCTAGAATATTTCAGAAATAAGATGGGCGGTGGAGATCCCAAGGGATTCTCCAATAAGAGCGGTTGTAGGACTTCCACTCTCCCTCCAAAACCGAGATGACACCACTGCACAGCCACATTCAGAGTAATCCTTGTTTGATGTCAATGTCACGTCACTACCCCAAGGGGGGTGGGCACAATCACGAGGAAATGAAACCGTCGCCCTGGGGAAAAAGGCACGCTCCCCTCCCCCAGTGCAGCTGCTTACTCTCTCTTTGCCTGAAGGAGGGAACACTCCAGCTTTAATGCTCTTCTCTGTTGCTGAGGGAAGTCCTCTCCATGGCCCAGAGCCTGTTGGCCCCTTAGTTATGCCCTGATTCCCAGCACCCAGCCCGGACTCCACATCCCTTGTCCCCAGGCTTGTTCCAGGTCTTCCAGGTAGTCCCTCTCCACCAAGTGCCCGAGTCACCCTTGAATCTGAGAGGCATCCTTCTCCCAAATCAGTTCTTTTCCAGTCACTTGTTCTTCCATGTTTGTATTCCAGTCTCTCCTGTTTACCCCTGCCCTCCCAACCCCCAGGCTCTCTGGTTCACCTCACTCCTCCACCTGCCCTTCCCTCTCGCAGCTGAGATTCTGAGCTGTGATGATGGCAATGCTGCTCAACACAACCCCTGCCCCCATGATGTCATAAGGTGCCACCGTCTCATTGAGCACATAATACTGCAACATCAAGGCCACCACCACTTCAGAGTGCAGGACGGCACACACCAGGGCAGGGTGGGCCTTGGTGACTGCATAACTCACACACGCAAAGGAGATCAAGGCTAGGATCCCCACTGCTGCCACACAAATCCAACTCAGAGGGTCTCTGGGCAGCACAGGGGTCTGCAATATAAAGAGGCCTGGCACAGAGCCCAACAGCCCCAACAAGCCAAATAGAAAGGTCACTGTTGGTAGGCAGGAGGGGAAATTCAGGGAACGGTAGACCTGCAGCTCCAGGGAAAGTGCCAGGCCTCCCAGGAAAGCTAGCACATAGCCCAGGGTGGTGTAAAGGCCCGTGGTTCCCTCCTGCAGTGTCCCTAGTCCAGGTCCCACAATGATGATTAGTCCCAGGGTGCTGCCCAGCAGTCCACACCAGTCGTAGCCACTGAGACTCTGGCTCTCGAGGCAGAGGGCAAGGATAGCAGAGCAGACGGTCGAAGAGGCTTTGCGAACAGTAGCAGCATTGCCAGCAGGCACCACCTGAACTGCACTGTAGGAACATGCAATGCTGAAGACGTTGAGCAGGGCATGGAGGCAGGTCCGGCCTCGGACATCAGGAGGTCCCAGAAGTGGGTCGCCACGCAGTTTAAGTAGCAGGGCAATGGGAAGATGGAAGAAACATCGGCAGATGAGCAACTCCAGTGAGGGCAAGTGGGAAGCCTGGTAAGCCATACGGGAGAAGGGACCCACAAAGCCAGCAACCAGGCCCCCACCCAGCAGGGCTATGAGCAGGCCCTTGGTGGTATCAGAGGGCCAGCAGCACTGGTGTGAGGGGAGGCTGGGCGGAGTGGAGGACGGAGTGGAGGGTGGCGATGGCTGGGTGAAGTCAGGCAGGTTGAAGTAGGGGTGACTGCCAGCCTGTTAGGGAGAAAGGGCTGGGTCACCTGGTGCAGAGCAGATAGATGCCAGGCCGGGATCTGGGACCCAGTGGGATTGTAGTGGTGCAGACTCTCATGCTGGGGAACTCTTGAGAACTAGAAAGGGCCTGAAAGATGGATGAAGTTGTATAGTGTGCGCCTGATGATCTAAAACAGGAAGCAGGGAGTGAGCGGTCCTGGAGCGTCGTTTCTCTGGGTGAGTCGTTCCTGAGAGAAAAAGGACTCAAGGATGCTTTGTTAGTTTGAGAAAAGGGAGGTGGCCTCAGATACTGTATGTCTGTGTGATGTTACAGGTTTCAGGAACATCTGGGTACACCATTATGAATTTCATTTGTGAGTGTCTACAGGACAGCTCAGAAGTTTTAGGGGAGAAGAGGAAAGGGATCAGCTAGGAGGTACAGGGAGGGAGTGTTGGGCTCCTGGCCCCCACACTCACCATCTTTCCTTGGACTTCCTCCTCTTCTGGCTCAGGGGACATAGGCCCCTGAGAACTCCAGCCATTGTGACCTGGCTGGAATGGAGGTGAGATTCTTCCTTGGAACCTTGGAGGTAGGTGGGTTTCCCTGAAACCTTCCAGAGGTGGTGATGGACCTATTTTCTCGTTACTCTGCTTGTTTTATATCTATGCTTCCATGGCTCCAAAGTTTGTCTGATTCTTTTTTTTCTCTTTGACTAGTTCTGTGGTTTTAAATTAATTTATGTCTTGCCTTGTTTCAGAAAGATTTTTTTAAAAAGAGCTCTGATGGCTGGCTCTTCTGTCCCCTGAGTTTTTAATTTTCCAACACCAGGGAGGAATACCTGGGATTGTCCTTCTGGAGTTACAGGAATGTGTTTCTTTTGTGTGTGCTTCCACCTGGTGTTTTGCTGGTGCTGTCCCAAGAGGCCCACACTGAAGCCTCTGCATTTATACTCAAATATACAGATGTGGATATTTCTGCCGTTGGGGACAAAGTACCTAGCAGCGTGTTCATCTGTGCTGGTGGTCATTGATGTGTGCCCGTTCTGAAGGGCTGGGCCTTCCTTGCCCGCTGCCTGGTGGTGGTCCCTGCTATTCCTGGGAAGGGTGTATATGTGTATTCAAGGCTACCCCTGTGAGTGTGCAGACCCTAGGTTTGTGGGTCCCACTGGGCCTGATTGTTAGCCTGCCATGTTGTGTGTCTGCGCCTGAAAGCATGTGTGTTGTGTCTCCCGCGGTGTGCACCGCTGAGTGAAGGACGTGCAGGGAAAAGGGCGGGCAGAGTCCCCAAAGAGTGGGTGGTCGTGCGCCCGTGCGGGGGTGTTGTAGTCTGGCCTGCGCCCTGCTCGGTGTCCACTCGCCCGGTGGCCCAACGCAGCGCGGTGCCCTGCGCGGGATCGGTCCCGGCGAAGGCCGTCGGACGCTTTGGAAC